CTGAAAGCAACAGAGATTATATATTTGATCACATCCTCCCCAGCTTCCAATAGAAAGGGAGCAAGAGCAGCTTTATACTACAAAAAGGGGAAATCTCAAGCTTTCCCCATAGACCAGTTTTCAATCCTTAGAGGCAAGCAGCAAAATGTGTTGATTAGCAACTCAGGACACTGTAGTCAGGCTGACCTCCTTGATACATGCTCATTAGTGGTTACTCTAAAGAGGAGTTTGAACTGTTTACTACAATATTTTTCCTATATAAAACATTCCCCTGAACAGAACACACAGCCTGTTTTTGCAAGGCCCCAAGAGAGATAAACTTGCCATGCAGCATGGATAAGAGCAGAGGTCTGGGATCTGCATGCTGGGCCTAGGGGCTGCCGGGCAGAGGCCAATTTGGCATGGTGGCTCCCAGGCCATATGGCCCAATCTGGCATGCCAGCACCAGGGCCACACAACACAGAGAGCTCTATACGGATTGCCGGCTCGGCGACTACACAACCTGATGGTGCCTGATCCAGCATGCAGACTCCAGCTGCATGCCAAATCTGGCCCTGTCCACCAACACTGGAGCCAGTACTCCAGATGCAAACCAACCCTTTTTGGTGTAAGGGGCAGTGGGGAGGAAAGAAAGAGTGGTGGCAGCTTTAATTGCTGTGGCTCCCAGAGCATCACAGCAATTCATACTGCCACCACTCCACCACCACCAGTGTCCAGGCCCACTGGGAGTCCTTTTCCTTGCATATAATGTGCACTTCAATGTCCCACAGATGGTTTGGGGAGAAGGCGCAGGTTATATACAAGAAAAATGCAGTAATAATGAACTAATTCTGAGAAAACCCTTATCCACACTTTTCATTACAGTCAACAAAAAGCCAGAAGAAATAGTCCCATGAAGGCTGGAGTAGGCTACCAGAAGCTTCGACTGGGCATCAGGGATTAAAGCAGGAAAATCCATTAAAGCAGAAAAACACATGCCAAGTGGCAAAGTTATGCCACTTTGGGTGAGGATCATCTTTGGCTGGTGTTAGGCAGCTCATGTTGCACTAACATCAGTCTGACTCCAATTTGCAGCCCTCCAGCATCCCAGAATGTATTGCTCCCAGCCCCCTACTCCCACTCTGTTGCTGATTGATCCACCCTCCCAAACTCTACTGTGCTAAGGGGTGGTACTGCCCATGGGCAGGCAGGGCCAGGGCTGCTGCAACAGCCCCTCTGTACAGTACAGCAGCCCCAAGCCCAGAAGATAGATGGCAGCAGAGCTGCCCTGAGGCTCCATGCTCCCATTACCCCAACTCCCCTCCTGGCAGCTGCAGCTCTATCAGTGCAGAGCTGCAGCTAGCAGGTGGAGGCCTAGGGGGAGCATGGAGCCAATGGAAGGGGGAGAAGCAATCTCTACCCTCCCACTGTCCCAGCCCCCACCTCCTGGTGACTGTGGTTCTAGGATCATAGGATTGGGGCAGCAGGAGCACAGAGCATGCTTCTCTTCCTCCCATTGGCTCCATGCTCCCACCAGGCTAATCCCCACCCAATGGCTGCAGCTCTGTGCTGAGAGGGGAAGCTGGAGCTTGAAGCTTGCTTCTCCCTGTGCTGGTGTCTCTATGCTCTATCTCCCTTACTAGTGTGAAACCACAGCCATCTAGAGGGGCGGTAGTGGGGCGGGAGCATGGAACTGTGGGGCAGCTGCATAGCCATCTGCCTGCTTGGGGTGCTGTGCTGCAAAGGGGAGTGCATCCCCAAACTGACTGGCAGGAGCCACAAGGGAACAGTACAAAGACATTCGGTCCTCCCAGGACAAGTAGGAAACACTTGTTAGCAATAAAAACCACCATGTTGCCAGAGACTGAAACCCCCTCCATGGGGTTACACACGTAGGATCAGCTGTCCATCTCTCATCTTGCAGAACACCCCCTCAGTGGCCCAGCACAACAAACCGGCCCACATTTTGTTGCAAGGTGAAGTGTCCAAATTCAAGTGTCACATGCCAGAGATAGAGTTTCAGTAACCTTATGCCCCTTTCAGTTCTCCCCCAGCACAAGTGGTCCCTCTCTCCTCACCAGCTCCCCAGAGCTAGAAATCAAGCCTGTGTGTCCTGGCTCCAGCTCTCCTGCTCTAACCCTCACACTCATCTGAGCTCTGGGATACAACCCAAGCATCCCAGCTCTTAGCCACAGCCCTGCTTGCCAGCCCTCTAGCAGCAAGTCAGAGCTGTGGAGGTCAGAGATGGTATTAAACTTTAACATGCAACTTCTCAGAGCATGTTCTAAGTTTAATACCGCATAACACGTGTGAATTGTAACATGCAACAACACCCATACAGACTAACTTCAGAAAGGAAAAATAGTATCTGCTCTTCTCATTTCTACTCAGTAGAGGTTTACCTACCAAAAGAACATCAAGAACAGATGAGAACCGATGGCTCATGGCAAGGCTCTCTACTCTACCCACTTACTGTAAAAAGGATTTTGGCTCCATCTACGCAAGCAAAATTATCTGTTGCTAACAACTGTTGTCATTTGATAGTAAGCAATTTCCTATAGCTAAAGAGGAGTTATTTCCTCATTTAGCTGAGACAAAGGCATTCACATCACCATTAAAGGAAAGACTTCCTAGACAGAAGCATTCTGTTTGGATCAGAAATAAGAAAGAAAAAAGTAAATGCTGTCCCAAAACCTCTCTCTCTCTTGTCCTGCTGCTGGTGATCATCAAGACAGGTTGGTAGTTTCATAAGTTACCAGGGATGTCAAGGCAGCCTGCTGCCCAATTAGTATTACATATCCCCACTTGAGCCTGATCCAGAGATCACAAATGTTGTTTCCGTTCCAAACATAGAGCTCAGTCCTTTCCTTCTGTTCATAGATTCCCAAACGCATCTAAGCTCGTGATGGTAAGACTAGAAAAAGCTAGAAAGAGGGGCTAAGAATTTTGCTAGGTTGATACTGGTTTACTATATTTTTTAGGAATGTCCTTTTACGATGTGTGTTCTTGTCTGCTAGGGCAATTTGTGGTGCTGGCATATCCCAATATTAAAACGCCCCAACCATAGGGGATAGGAGCCTAATTTCAGGTATCCACATTTGGCAAAAAAATGACTTAGATTTCCAACTCAAATGTGAGATTTCCACCACTGCTAGATTCTGTAACAAGCCTCTCAATCACACCTTCCAGTCCCACAGGTCACTTTCCAAAAACTGGGGGCCAGGTGAAGCATTAGTAGGCTTGGGGAATCATCTCCCATATTGTTTGCGTGCTCCCATTTGAAGTGTTAATAAAAGCACTGTAAGAACACTTGATGTGCATGACCCCAGAGGTAGCATGCCACTGTTTGTGATAGCTTGGATGGGCAAAGAATTAAAAAGAAAAAAAAAGTAGAAGACACTGTGCACTGCCACAAAAGATACTTCGTTTATCACTGCCAATGGGGTCTTCTCCTTGCCAGTCTTGCAGTATTCCTCTGATATTAGATCCATACTTTATATAAAACAGGGGACCACACATGCAGCATTATTAACCTTGTACACCTCCAAGAAGGTGAAGAATAGCCTCCCCTACTGATAACAGCTCCAGCACAACTGAAGCGTCATTTCAACTGCTTAGTGCTAGGAAAAAGAAATTGAGTATGTGACAGACTGAGCCTTACCTGGTTTACATGCGTGTTCCACTGCCCTCTACTGATCAAATGTCTTAGGTGCATATCCAGATTCCTTAAACTGGCTGAGATAAGGGAGTTGCTCTGTCTCCCTCAGGCACAGGCTTGTATTTCTGAAGCTGTATCCATCACATTTTTTACCACACTGTCCCTTTGATGCTCTGCTTGTGTTTGTGGATATTATTTTGAGCCAGAACCAATACTGTTCACTATTGAACCATTCAAAGTGTTAACTTTTGGGAAGAATTAACCCTAGCCCCAGGCGATTTTAAGATTAACTGCTAGTGTTACATGGAATTAAAGTGCAGGGAAAAAGCAAGATAGCAGTTGGAGGAACATAATTTGAGAGTGTGCTGTCAAGTGGCGTATCATATTATTGCTTCATTGCTTTCATTTGCTGAATGTTAATTATGGAAAAAAAACCTTCCTGTTGTTTGTTTTACAAAACATGAAGTTAGAAAACGAAACATTTGTGATTCTTATGCCAGAATGCAGTGGTCATAAAGCCTGCATAGGATTTCTAAGGAGAATCACCCCAGTATATGGGTGGATTTATTATAGTATTGGAGGCAATTGATTAAAGTAGGCTGAAAGATGAAGAGCTCTGATCACCAGACAGGCTTACAGCAGTGTCATTTAATAAAAAAAGCTGTTTCATTAAGCATCTGAACAGCCAAGTTCAGTAGCTCAGATGATGGCATCGCACCTGTGGCAGCAAATAAGAGTAATACATATAGTCACCTAGTGTAAAAGTACAAAGCAGCCCTAGGGAAGGAGTCCTTATACAGCAGGAGATTGGTTGGTAGGGAGGACATGGCAAAGTGGCATAAAATACACAGAATGCAAATGGTGCATAGTGCACAAATGTAGAGGACACACCCAATGCCACCACTTACGTCCAAGCTTAAATTGTCATACATTGTCTCCTAAAAGGGAAAAATGGCCTGGAACATAAATTGAAAGCTTGAAAGGAGCGTATTTCTCACAAAGTATCTTCTAGTGGAACACAAAAAGCATGTTGCTCTCTGTTAAAGTCTTTATTCTACATAAAAGAAACTCACTTCTCTTCCTAAATTTAAACATATACAGAGTGCAATTCAGACTTTAAATGTTAGGTGTTTCCAAATTTATTTTAGAGAACGATCCTAGCAAACCCTGCTGGTAGAGGAGCACCAACTCTCAACAAATGATGGAATCCCTTTGCCCCAAGACAGAAACCCAGACACAGAATTGTTGGTCTCTTTAAATCCCAACACACAGCTTGAACCAGAAAGATGGTGCAGGGAGCAAAGAGAAAGGTGGAGAAGAAGGAATGGTAATTAAGCTTTGAATATAGGGAAAATTTACTTACCCAAACAGACCAGCCTTGAGATCACAAGGGAGAACAGAAGGCTACTGGCAGCAGAGTAACACTTCATGGTTCCTGTTAGACAAGAAAAAAAAAGTCAAAGTCTAGTCACACATTATAGTAATGACAATGCAAATAAAGTTACCATGAACCCAAATAGAAAGTCAAAATGTATTAGCTGACCAGCATAAAACATAGCCACTCTTTTAATACCTGCCTCTTATGGTAGCACTTGTCATTAATAGATCTAAAAGTGCTTTAGACAGTAGGAAACCTGCAAATGCCTTACCCTTCAACCCACACAAAGAATGTGGAAATAAGGGAAGAAATACAGTTCTTTAGCCCCCGAATACTTGGAGTATCCCTTTAAAATACTCTGACAGATGGTGCTGCCCATTCCATGATGACTACACACACAGCCTAAGAAGCTGACAAAAGCTGGCCAGTGCTTGGACACAGGACTCAGAAAGACCTCTCCTTGTTGGCAGAAGAATCTATAATCCAAGAGTACTGCCACTCAGGTCAGCAAGCGACTGAATTATGCAGCTTCAAAGAAATTAGAGCTGCACATGACCTACATAAGATTATCTTGCCCATGACTCTGGCTAACTAGGCTAGTACTCACCAGGGGAACATTCTTGTAAATGAAAGGTTACATGTCTCAAGTGATGGGCTTTTTACTATGCCCTCTGGGAGATTTTTCCCTCTACCACTGAATACATCTCATTGTTAGCAAAGATTTTTGTAAATGCCCAGGCTTAATTTTCCTTTGCTCAGCATACATTACTTTTATTTTCAGCCTCATGATTTATTCTAAACAATTCTCCAGCCTTGGCTTTAATTGCATCATACTAAGACATCATAGTTCCCTTAACCATTCTTAGTCTAACTTACATTCAGCCTTTAACCTTACCTCATTAATTATTCTTTAGTAGTTTGCTCATTTTCTTTTAATTTTCTTCCTACTTCTTGGAATCTTCCTGGTATTTGTTGAGGTGATCAGAAGCAGTGCATCATTTTACCAGAGCCAGATCAAATGATAACCACTATTCTGTTCCATGTAATCCAGAGTTTTAAAGATGCCGTCACACCACATTGCAAGTGGCTATCTAATTTGCTGTCAGATGAGATTGTCAAATCATTACTTTCCTAGTTTGTCCTTTCAGCTGAATATCTGTCCCACTTTTAAATGCTTTAATCCAAACAGAAGGCATCCAGAAAAATAAGCATTTGTGTAACTTCGTGACTATATGTTATAAGTTTATATGCAAGGAAAGACCTAACCTGCCATCCCACCCTCAGGCAAATGACTACCAGATGTGGCAATCAAAGGGTTAAAGTTAGTGGATCAGATTCCTCCCTGGTGCAATTTCATGAAGCCAATGGAGAGACAGCAGGGATGAATTTGTTTCATTATAATTACAGTGCAACATTGTCTCACAGTTAAGGCATTAGCTTTTCATCTCTGGAAACAAGGGTTAGATGACTGCTTCTGTCACCAATCAAAATGAGACTGATGATTTCTTTTTAGTTTCCACTAGATATCTCCTTACATTTTAAGACTCTCGCCATAAATTTTACATAACTGGTACTTCCTCTTTAGAAAAGGTATCTCCAAATAGAGGGCTGGAGCAATGGGATGCTGCAGGTGAAGATTAGCAAAAGACAGAGCACTGAAATGTTAGGTAAAAATCAACAGCATTGGCAATGCAGAGTGAGAACCCAGGATTGGCAGAGCAGTGAACAACGAACATCAAGATTAAGCTGTGTTGGCAGAACTGTCTGGGAGACCACAACTAAAAATCTCTAAAAATTCGCCAAAATTTCAAAGTACAATGCAAAAAACAACAGACAGAACATATGAGCACACCCAAAGCTCTCAAACACCAGCAATGCTGTGAAATAGTTATGAGCTGGAAGAACAGCTTGAGTATATTAACATGCAAATCAATACTCCAACACCCCACTTAGTTTCTAGAATTGCCCAGGCTAGTATTAACAGAGCACATGGAGTCTTACCATAGAAAAAGAATGAAATATGGCAATAGATATGTATAGAATGGTCAAATGTTTACTATAGTTTTCAGATTAATTAAATAAGAGGCATTCGAAACCGTGCTTAAAAACACCAAAAATAATACCCCAAAGCCTAAAAAAGACAAGAAATTTCTATTTTAAAATGGAATCAAAATACAATTTAAGTTATGATTAATGGCTTAGTCTAAAATATATGTCCCAAAGCCAAGTATAAGTTATGTACATGCACACACGCTTGCTGTGTGTATACACAGTATACATAGCTTTAACAAACACAAATGATCAAGTGATTTTGATTGTAACCCTTGTCATCTCCACCCCATGTCATGACGCCTTCATTTGTTGCGATCACCCATTGCATCTTGTCTAGAACCTCAAATCCTGCTCCTGCAAAACAATATGAGAAGGCAGATTTCTAAGTCTGTTTGATATCCCAGCAGAAAATCTGCACTAATGGTAAGAATCCTACTGTGAGGGATCACAAACCTCAGGTTTTTTGCAACAGGAATTAATTTTTCTGATTTATCCCTAAAGTTCTTTTCACTTTCTGGATTCTTTAAGTTACGAGCCACATTCTAAACTGCTATGAATAAACATTGCTTCATAGTTTATGCCAGAGCAACATCAGTTGGCAATCTGGCCCAACTACTGGAGATTGGTTTAAAAAGCATGTGTAGGGATGAGAACACATGACAGTTGCCCACTTGGCTGACACATAGGGAGGGCTGGACACAGGCATGAGCAAACCCGGTGGATGCCTGGGGCCCAGTCAGAAAGGGGGCCCAAAGATGGTAATTTTATTATTATTACCATCATCATCATCATCTCTGGCAAAGCAGGGCCCGGTACTAAAAGTCTGCCTGGGGCTGCCAGGATTCTAGGTATGGTGCTGCATGTAGGAGACTGAACCAAGGACCTCCAGAGCTAGAAAGCAAAAGCTACTCTACTTTGGAGCTAAAGAGCCACAGCTCAGTAGGAGCTGTTGCCAGTAATAAATCATACCCTTAGCCCATCAGCACAGGAGCGCATTCATAATATATTCACTAGTGGGTTACATACACAATAAACTTCACAACAGACCTGGTGAACACCAGGAGCAAATGAGAAAAACAATGCATCCTGCATAAAGTGTTAAGGCAGGTACAACTCCCATCTGAGCAGGTAAACAGGAAGATCAGATCCCAGTTCAACAGCTTATACATTTGCTATCATGTGGAACTTCTCTCAAATCCTAGCCCAGAACTGGGTATCAGCATTGGGTTTGCACTTCCCTGCTGCATGCAGATTGTTCAATATGCCTACAAACATAGCTTTGTATACTATTAAGATTACTTGGTGGGAGTTATCATGCTGACGTGGAAAGGCCATAAAAGTCTCCCTTCTGCTTTAAACCTGAGAAGACTGACTGTCATATCTGCACAGGAACAGGACACAAAGCTCTATTTGACTGCAGTTTTTTCTAGCTAAAAGAGAAGCTAGAAAAGGATCCAGTACTTTTAATCCCTTAAACCCAAGTTGTAAGAAATGGAGAGAGAAAAACAAGATTATGAATATCTTAAAACTCTCTCTTCATTGGGAGTGACCCTTGAGCTCTCCTGCTCAATAGGAAAGAGTCTGAAAAAAATATCTGTCTCACATACGCTGAGCCACAGGGTACCCCACTACTCCCCTCACAAAGTCACATCACAGGAAGAAGCAGAGGTGCCAATCCTAGGAAGAAGTTAGGAAAAATGGAATGGTTTCTGCCCCATATGAAAGGAATTTTGGATGCTAATATTAATTCGAAAGGGGAAGCAAAGCTCTCAGTGAATTCATTCCCACTTGCACGGTATTTCTGGTGTCCTCATTCTGGTAATTCACCAGATTCAAGCCATCTCTAACATAAAGATACTCCCCACACATGTAAACACAAAACTTAACCCCCATCAGCCTGCTTACTGTTTTTCCTACAGCTCACCATGGCCAACTCCACCTGACTGTCCATTATTCTTATTATTATTATCATGGGCTGACATAAACAATCCAGAAGTTCCCTCTTCAAGCAAGGAGTCAAGTAACAAAACCCCAAGCTAGATGTTCACTGGCATCCTCTGATGCCAGTTGGATAAAAGTGGGAAAAAACTTTAAAATACTTTAAAATAATATACAGAATATTAAGCTGGGCCTTTTCCCCAACAATATTCTTTTCATGAAGGATTCGGCAGAGAAATATGAATTGTATAAAGAATTTAACATCATCTCTGCATGGGTCATTAGAAGGAAATTTGCATCTAAAAAGCACAAAGGTTCTCCTCTTTAAACTAAAGGATGAAGTTCCAGAAATTGTGCTCTTTAAATCAATCTAGTTAGGAGAGGGCCATGATAACATAGCATCAGTCCACTGTGTTATGTGATTTTTTATACAAAGACTAGTTATCTGATCACTTGCTACTTGGAGGCCCTCCTCTGTGTTGTGTTCTAAAGGTGTACAACTCACTTCTCAGTGACACCCATCGCTTTACACTTGCTAACCCACATCTCCAAAAGAGACGCAACATGACAGAAGGAAAGGGCCAACTCATGGACTTAACCCCTCACCTTCTTTTCCTTTCAATCATTCTTACTTCTGCAGCATTGTTTTATATTGTACCTTTCCATCAAGCAGGGTGGCCATCCTGCACCATGGGTGCCACAAGTGGCACAGGTAGCCTCTGTGTGTGGCACATGGCAGACTGGGGAGGGAACATGCAGCACAGTGGCAGACAGGACAGGGAGCAGAAAGCAGAGCATGTGATCAGGCACAGAGCGCAGGACAGGAAGCAGAAAGCAAAGCAGCAGCTTGGTCAGGAAGCAAAGAACAGGGAGCAGGAAGCTGAGCAGCAGATCAGATAAGGGAAAGAGATTGGAGTGGCACTTTGGGCAAGTCCAGGGATAATTTATGGTATGCCTGTCAAGAGATTGCCATAGAGGACTGCAAATCTTTTCTTGCAACTTGTGCAACCCTTTAACTAATGGATGTCTTTTAGGCTTGCCTCAGTGTATAAACCATTTCTGTATTT